TTTGCTTAAAAAGAGTTTAAAATCTTTTGAGTCAAACAAAAATCAACTTATGTAAATTTTAGTTCACTTCAGAAACAAGTTATGTACAAATATGTATTCACACATTTTTAAAAGTTAAAGATAATTGTATATTTAAACTAATTAATCGATATGTATTAGTTTCGAACTCAAAATTCGCCATCTTGCTAAACAAATAAACGTAGATATACTATTAAATATTTTGTTCAAAAACACTATCAACTCAATAATTCAGAAATAGCATGCAATATTATAGATAATTTTTTTTAAATAAAGCTCCCCAGACAGATGTCTAGGCGTTGTATTGCAAAAAAGATCATTGAGGAGGGTTAGGCCTGACCTCGGAAACATAATACAACATGGTGATTGCTATCACTCAAAAAGGACAGTAGAGGAAACTACCTCTCTACTGCCAAAGCTATATACATCCTAATTCAACTAACAAAAAAATTGTTCTTTTCATACTTTGTTCTAATACTAGGCATTTGCCACTTATCCATCATGAAAGGGTATTTGGCTTCTTTTGGGAGTTGTTCAAAGGATTGGTAAATCATTCTCGTATCAGATATGGAGGCGATTTTAGCTAAGGAATCGGCTACCTGATTTCCTTCTCTGTAACAGTGTTGGACCGTCGCATTTGCTTCTTGAACCCATCTTGTAATTCTATCCGCCATCATCTTTAGTTTCCTGTTCTTGTTTCCTTCTTGGTTGACCATGTTCACTATGATATTTGAATCAAGTTTGAGAACAAAATTAGTGAAACTCAACTAGTTGCACCATTTTCCTCCGAACTCAGCAGCTAGAGCCTCGGCCATGTTATGACTATCACAATCTATCGACATTGCATAGGCCATGATACAGTTACCATCCTCATCTATGATTCCTCCTATGCCGGCTTTCCTACTTTCCTTGATATGGTTTCCATCCGTGTTAACTTTAACCTTGCCATGAAGCGGAGGATGCCATTGAACTTGCTTCCACGTTTGTACAGGCTTCAACTTTTCAATTAAGTTGCAGAGAGAAGGCCAGTTATATTGAGTATCTTCATTCGGCATAAGTTTGGCTATATTGGCTTTGATGTTCCATACAACCTGTCGCTTCATGATATTGTGTTGGAATTTCCTTTGCGTGGCATATCTACAAGAACATCTTTGTTTCCAAATTTCCCAGCAGATAAAGGTTGGTACAGCTTATAGAACCAGGCCATGAATTTTATTTTTTGTTTTGACTTCCCACCAATTCTTGAGAATTGCCGCAATAGGTGCATTTTGGTGGGTGATGCCCAATGGGCTGCCAATACTCTTCCATATGTTTATCGCCGCTTCACTTTATACAAAAATATGTTGCATGGATTCCACCTGTGGCACGTTACAACAAGAACACCTCGACACAATGTTAGTACCAAGCTTACAAATCAAATCATCAAAAGGCAATTTTCTTTTCAAAATTCTCCAAGTTAGGAAGGACATTTTAAAAGGAATAGAATGATGCCAAAGATTCTTTAAAACATTATTTTTCTGTTTTGTAAATCTAATAAAGTTCCGTGCGGATTTGTTTGAGAAATTTCCATCATCCGACAAGGACCAAATATGAAAATCATCATCCATATCATTACCTACCTCAATTTTACAAATAAAATCAGAGATGTGGGAATGGAGAACCTGATTTAACCTGTTGATGTCCCATTGCCCATTAGTTAAGAATTCCTTAACTTGGGTTTTGGCCGAGTTTCGGATGCCCTGAACCTGATGGGCCAAGGGGCCTTCACCAGTCCAATTGTCCCACCAGAAACTAGATGAGCCATTTTGGATGCTCCATTTAATGTGCCTTTCCACCCTGTGCCTGGTTTTTATCAAGTTTTTCCAAATGTGAGAGTCTTTTGAGGTCATGGTTTTACTTACCAGGTGAGATCTCGGGCAGTATTTGGCTATGAGAAAGGTGGCCCATAGAGAGTTTTGAGTTCTAAACTTCAACCATCTCTTGATACTAAAAGTATCAATTATATCTTACATCCTCCTAATTCCAATGCCGCCTTCTTCTTTGGGCAGGCACATATTGTGCCAAGAACTCCAATGATAATTATTAGACCCGTCTGTGGAACCCCAGAAAAAATTTACAAAATATTTTTCCATGAGAGTAATAGTGCCCTTGGGGGGGCTCATAGCAGACAATGTGTAAATGGGGAGAGATTGCAATACATGCTTGATCAGAGTAATTTTCCCCCCTGGGGAGAGAATTTTACCTTGCCATCCATTGATTCTTTTAATAATATTAGCTAGCATACCTTGAAATAAAACAGTGTTTTTCCTTCCATGATAAATAGGGCATCCCAGATAATTGAAAGAGAATTTTTTATCCATGAAACCTGAAGTTGCCGAATTCTGTTGATCCTGGAAGTAGAGGTGTTAAGAGACATGATGAAATAACTCTTGTCATTGTTGACTTTTTGCCTTGATGCCTTCTCATACCTCTTGATTTGCTTCTTGATAAGTTTGATGGATTTCTTGTTACCTCCACAGAATATGACAATATCATCTGCATATGCAAGGTGATTGATCTTTGGGCCTCTGTTATTCATGTTGAAAGGAGTAAAATCTTCACATATGAAGAGGATATTCAAGGATCTGGTAAGCACTTCCGCACTAATAATAAACAGAGATGGGGAGAGTGGATCTCGCTGTTTTAAGCCCTGAGAAGAGGTGAAGAAACATTTTCTATTACCATTAATAATAATGGAGTACCAAACTCCCTTAATCAGACCCCAAATAATGTCAATCCACTCCTCCGAGAAACTAAATTTCCTCAAAACCGACATAATAAAGCACCATGACATTCTATCGTATGCTTTCTCCATGTCTAATTTGATAATAACATTACCCCCGCAGTTTTTGTTCTTGATGTTCTGGGTGACCTCTTGCGCTAGCAATATGTTTTCAGTGATGGATCTCCCTTTGACAAACCCACTTTGATTTTCTGAAATAATTTTATGGAGTATAGGATTTAGCCTTCTAGAAAGGATTTTGGAAATGATTTTGTCAGTGAAGTTGCTTAGACTGATGGGTCTTAGCTCAGAGAAACTGCTGGATGACTCTACTTTAGGAATTAGCACCAAGCATGTGTGTGAGAAGAACTTGGTCAGCCTTTTTCCATTGAAGATTTCTTGTACAAAGTTAGTGATATCATCTTTGATTATATCCCAGCATTTCTGAAAAAAGTGTCGTTAAAACCATCAGGACCAGCTGCACTATTAGCACCCATATCAAAAACAGCATCTCTAATTTCCTCCATATTAGGCATAGCAGTCAGTAAAGTGTTACCATCATTAGTGATAATCCTAGGAATGCAATCAAGGATATCAGTGTCCTTAAACTGGTGCGTAATGTTGAATCTCTTGTGGAAGTGTCTAATAGCAGCCTTTGCAATGTTATCATCTCCTTCCACCCATCTGTCCCTGTGATCTTTTATCTTGTGAAGCTGTAACCTTCTTCTTTTTTCCCTGATCAGACTATAGGCTTGTAGCATTGGTTCTTGAAAGAAGAAGGTTTAAGGCTCAAAAGGGGTTAGCTAGGGATTATCTCATTGGTAGGCTATGGAATTGTTCAACTTATCATTTGGATCAAGGAGAGCCTATAATCACTTCTCAAGTCGAATTTCACTCAAAATTTCGCCTCAACAAACATTCAGGGCAAGTTCTACACTATTGGCTCGGGACTTGGACTCATAATTCAATTTCTCACCACACACACTCAAGGATTGCTAAAGACGTAGAGTCGAGGGCCCACAACAACCTTAGATACGATTGAGCACACAATAGTCCTGAAAGACCACATGATGTTTGTTTGGTCAACACAAGAGTCTCAAGGTCACTACTTTCACCATCCTAAACACAACCACTTGTCTTTGACCATGGGATCAAAGGAAAATGTGTTAGGCCCAAGTGAAGCTATGCTTAAAGTACCCTTAACTAAAAACTACTAAAAACANTTGGGGGGGCTCATAGCAGACAATGTGTAAATGGGGAGAGATTGCAATACATGCTTGATCAGAGTAATTTTCCCCCCTGGGGAGAGAATTTTACCTTGCCATCCATTGATTCTTTTAATAATATTAGCTAGCATACCTTCAAATAAAATAGTATTTTTCCTTCCATGATAAATAGGGCACCCCAGATAATTGAAAGGAAATTTTTTATCCATGAAACCTGAAGCATGCCGAATTCTGTTGATCCTGGAAGCAGAGGTGTTAGGGGACATGATGAAATAACTCTTGTCATTGTTGACTTGTTGCCCCGACGCCTTCTCATACCTCTTGATTTGCTTCTTGATAAGTTTGATGAATTTCTTGTTACCTCCACAGAATATGACAATGTCATCAGCATATGCAAGGTGATTGATCTTTGGGCCTTTGTTATTCATGCTGAAAGGGGTAAAATCTTCACATATGAAGAGGTTATTCAAGGATCTGGTAAGTACTTCCGCACTAATAATAAACAGAGATGGGGAGAGTGGATCTCCCTGTTTCAAGCCCTGAGAAGAGGTGAAGAAACCTTTTCTATTACCATTAATAATAATGGAGTACCAAACTCCCTTAATCAGACCCCAAATGATGTCAATCCACTCCTTCGAGAAACCAAATTTCCTCAAAACCGACATGATAAAGCACCATGACATTCTGTCGTATGCTTTCTCCATATCTAATTTGATAATAACATTACCCCCGCAGTTTTTGTTCTTGATGTTCTGGGTGTTCTCTTGCGCTATCAATATGTTTTCAGTGATGGATCTCCCTTTAACAAACCCACTTTGATTTTCTGAAATGATTTTATGGAGCATAGGATTTAGTCTTCTAGAAAGGATTTTGGAAATGATTTAGGCAGTGAAGTTTCTTAGACTGATGGGTCTCAGCTCTGAGAAACTGCTGGGTGACTCTACTTTAGGAATTAGCACCAAGCATGTGTGTGAGAAGAACTTGGTCAGCCTCTTTCAATTGAAGATTTCTTGTACAAAGTTAGTGATATCGTCTTTGATTATATCCCAGCATTTCTGAAAAAATGTGTCGTTAAAGTCATCAGGACCAGCTGCACTATTAGCACCCATATAAAAAACAACATCTATAATTTCCTCCATATTAGGCACAACAGTCAGTAAAGTGTTATCATCACCAGTGATAATCCTAGGAATGCAATCAAGAATATCAGTGTCCTTAAACTGGTGCGTAATGTTGAATCTCTTGTGGAAGTGTCTAATAGCATCTTTTGCAATGTTATCATCTCCTTCCAACCATCTGTCCCTGTGATCTTTTATTTTGTGAAGCTGTAACCTTCTTCTTTTTTCCCTGATCAGACTATGAAAATACTTAGTATTAAAGTCACCTTCTTCGAACCACTTGATGTTTGCTTTCTGCTTGAGGATAGAATCTTGCATGGTCATCCAATTGATGTATTCCGCTTGCCCTTTGTTAAGCTCTTCCCTGGATAGATCGGAGTTGTTTTGTAGATCGAGTTCTTCAAGGTCATTCATTTTGGATTCCCAGAATTGCACATGCTCATGAACATTTCCAATCTCTTATTTTGACCACTGAGTAAGCCTTTTGCTGAGTTTTTTAAGCTTCTGTTGAAGTTTTCACAAGGCATTCCCCCTAATATTGGAGGACCACACTTCTTCTACCAGATTCATGAATGAAGGTTGTTCCACCCAGAAATCAAGGAATTTGAAGTACTTAATACTATTGTTGTTTTTGTTATAACACTTAAGGAGTAAGGGCCTATGATCCGAACCAGTTCTTGGTAGATGCTTGACCACATTATTTTGTATAAGTTGACACCATGAGTCATTAATGAAGATTCTATCCAGCCTCTTCCAAATTCTTCTTCTAGCCTCCCAATTATTGCACCAAGTGAACTTAGGCCCAACATAGCCCAAATCCTTAACTTCACAATTATTCATGCAAGTGTTGAAGTCTAAACTTTTGGACATTCTGTGAGGTCGACCACCCTGTTTTTCATCCGGATCAAGAATAACATTGAAGTCTCCTCCTATGCACCAAGGGCCCTCAATCATCCTGTGCATGTCTTCCAAGTTGGACCATAGTGCTTTTCTATCACTAGCTTTACATTTTGCATAAACTGCCGTAATGTACATACTCTTGGCATCCACCCCATTATGCATTTTGATAGTGATTTGTTGATCATCCATAGTAACCACACTTGATTGAAAGTTTTCAGACCACATGAGCCAAATTTGCCCATTTGTATTGGATATGCAGTGTTTAAGCTTCAGAAACCTCATATACTTATCCAATTTGTTCATATTGGCAAATGGTTCCATTAGGGCTATGAAATCCACTTTGTTGATGTTGATAAGTTTTTTTAATCTAGGCATGGCCTTTTTTGTGTTAACTCCTCTAATATTCTAAAATATGGCACTTATCATGGAAAAAAGAAGGAATTAGTTTGATCCACCTCCCTGAGTAGGTGCTTTCTCATTCTGTTTTTTCTTCCTGTCTTTCTTTTTGTTCTGATTCTTGCGTTTAGTCACAGGAGAGAGCCTTCTTCGTTACCCTGGTCCTGCACTTTCTGAAGTTGATTTTTGGTATCATTACTGTCACTGTGTTTGGGGAGGTGACCTCAAATTGTTGTATATTTTCCATCCTTGTTGAAACCGTTTCACTGCTGCCTTGTTGTTGTTCAGGGTTCAGATCAAGTTCTAAGCATATTCCAGGTAAGTTTTTTTTATTTCTGAGGGGATACTAACAGACTCATTAACATATTGTTTCCATTCCAATTCCTTAGTTGTTTTGCCCCCGATACTGCTTGCTTTCAAAACAGGTTCTGTACTATCAGTTGGGGCATCATGTTCAGTCACATTAGCACTGCCTTCTTTTATGTTGTCTGCCTTGTTAAATTCCCCAGCTAAGTTCATCTGATTGCTGCAATTCTGTACATCTTCTCCCTGCTGAATATTGGTAAGTTTGTTCTTTTGAGTGTTGGAACCTTTTACATGTTTGAAGACTACTTTGGATTTCTTTTTCGGAACTCTGCTGTGCCTTTTAGCTTTTTTCTTTTTGGTAGTTCTGTTTTTTATGCTCCGCTGTATTGGGACTGTTTCATCCATAATCTGCGAGTCATTTCGTTCCTTTTGTTGTTGATAAACACAACCTTGCCGCTCATTGTTGTTATTATCATAAATACCAAGATTCATTTTGTTCTGCTTACTGCCCTGCTTTTGTCTCACCAGTGTATTCTGCAGTTCATTAGAACTGCCGGTTTCCCCTGCTTCCTTTTCATCATTTGCTTCCTTATTTTCAGTTATTTCAGCTTCATCATACCTGTCATTGTTCTATTTTTCTTGCTGTTCTTTCCTTTCCGACTCTCTTTTTCTTTCTAACCCTCTACAATTCATCATGTTGTGTCCTAACTTTCGACAATGTTTACAATACTTAGGTACCCCCTCATATTCAAGCTTTTGTGTGAACCCTTTTTGAGGGGAATTGTCGAAGACTTGCCCAACGTAAACAACATCTGGTTGCTGTTTAAGTAAATCAATTTCAATTCGAACCTTCGCCATGCTAGGTCTAGTTTTACCTCGCGTCGCTAGGTCCATTTCCAATGGGGTTCCGACGACACTGACTACTTGCTTGACGTAGTGGCATGTATGCATATGGTATGGGAGCCAGGCAACAACACCCATATCGGTGCCACCGGCAGGTCTTCCTCCGGCTTAAAATCCGGCAACAATCTCTGAAGCCACATTTGTTGACCCTCTATCTCAATAACTCTCTTATACCAGACGAAATTAAAATCGTCTTTATTTGTGAAATCCAGAAACACATTAAAATTATCATAAACCCTAATTTTGCCACTACCTTTGATGGTAATTAGTTCTTTGAATTTGACCTAATTCGGTCAACTTGGGGTCTAGGTTTGAGAAATCTACCCACAATTGTGAGTCTACATTCTTCAGCCATGATTCCATAGTAGTCCGCTGGCTTGAATAACACCGCCGACATCCCATTGTGTGTCGTGTGCGTCGCTATTACCGATTCTCTTGTTTGCTGCTTTGAGGATTCTGGAGCTTGCTTTGCTGCTGAAATTGTCCCTACATAGGAGGCCTTTTTTGTTGTTGCTTCCATTGATTGTTTTGTGGATTGATGAGGGACGTTATGGGCATCCAGACGCGCCGGAGGGGCTCCGTCCGGTGGATCCATGGTGGAGGCGCGTGTGGCTACTCGCTAGGAGGTAGCCGTTAGTTACCTGTATTGGGAAAAACTGAATTTAAATATTGAAGATGACATGTCATGACACGTGGACCGGTCAAATAGTCAAAGCATGACAAACAGTTAGAAGACACGAGCAACAATAGATGCGGGAGAGAAGATACAAGCTACTATCCAGATGAAACGAGACTCGTACCTGTTCGAGCCATTTAAAGCTCGAAGATCAGAAGGAATTGAAGATATGAATCTGATAGCATAAAAGAGTCCAAATTCAACATTAAATGCCAAATACGTTAGAGAATTTGTATTTAATAAGAGTGATTGAATAACGTTTCTTTTAATGTCATTTACTGCTCGTAATTGCCTCATTAAGACAAAAATATTACACTTTCTCTTAGAATTGACTATAAAAGGAGAAAGTCACAACATTTGTAGGACACGAAATATCATTCCGATTATACTGAAATATACTCTTATTCATTGCTTTATTGTTGTTCACAAAATCTCTTATTTCTTGATTATCAGTAACCCGATTTCTCTATTAAATTCTAGCTTTAACCAAATATTCAGTTTTCTGGTTAAACAAATTGGTTCCGTTACCGAGAAT